GAATTACACCAGTTAAAGATATCTTTACTTAATAAGCCTACTGTCACCATGGCTTACTGTAATCAGATCCGAGTAGTCAGCTGAAACTTAGTGATCAAGTGGAGGAAAAAAAGATTTGGTGGTGTCATGCTAAGGATGCAGGGGTACTGGGAGATTTTTAAGTGTTAGTCATTCTTTTGAAAGAGGATCTTGCACTGCAGGGGCTTTCAAACCTGACAGCCATGAGCCTGGGGAGGGCAGAGAGGGAGCTGCCAGCAGGGGGCGCCAGGCAGCGCTCCGAAGGGCAGGTCCCTGCTGCAGTTGTGTCTGTCCTGTTTCCTCTGCTAAAAAGCCCCCTGTGATTCTTTAACACAATTTGTAGGTAAGCAGATGGTACAGATATAATAAGACTAGGTTTCATCAAGCTGAAAGCATGCTTTTAAGTTTTCATTTTGGAGACGACAAACCTTTGTGGTACTGTTTTTAATATTCTCTGGAAGTGGATTAAACTAAATTAAAAGTCCCAGGGACCATCCTGGGTCTGACTGTAGATGTTCCAGGATATTTATGTAAGCAGACTGTTAGGTTACCTTGTGTCACCCAGAGGTTCTAAGAACGCATCTGGAAAGTCGCAGGCACGTCCGCATTTCCATCCAGAGGTCCCCATGTGTTTGCCCTTGTGTTTCTAAAACAGCTTGTAAAATAACAGAGATCTATTGGTTTCTCTAAATTTAGGAAAACAAGTTGCTTCTTTTCTTTCTCCCTTTTTCAGTTTAGCCATCCAACCATAATAAATCTTCAGCATAATAAAATTTGATCTTAAGTGCATACAAACAGTGCCATGATTGCCTTTCGTTCAATCCACATCTGGCTGTTTTAATACAATATGCCTTACTTTGATAATTTAGCTTCTAGTTAACCTAGAATGTGGTTCTTATCATTACATAATCTTGTCGGAGTCATTACACCTACTCAGTATTATTAGCAAAGGTCTTCATATTCTGAGATCAGAGAAATTCTTGAACTCTTCAGCACTGGGTAATTAAATTGTTTCTTTCCTCACCACTTCTTATTCATATCTTTTAAAAAGTCTTTCCACTTTTATCGCCTGTAACGTCTTTTCCCCAGAGCCAATTAACAGGTAAGTAATGATTTGTGAAGCAAAAAGTAGCACTTCGTTAGCGCAGCACTGAAATAAGGCAAATCTTTGCTCAACACAAATTGAACCATTCTCTTCTCACTGAATATAAAATATATGCCAAATTAATAAATTATAATGATTTGATTTAACCAAATTAGCCAGAGCTAATAACAAAGGGTGCAATTTGCTTCTTCCCTGGAATATGTTTTTCTTATGGGCACGCTTCTGTTCGTGGCAGATGTGGGAACAGCTGTGCAGCACATTTTGGACTGCGCTTAACCTACTTTCCTAGGAAGGGGAACAAAATAACACTGATTTTCCGGCACCCTAGTTGGAAACATGAGCAACGTAAGACCATACGTGACTTGAGAGAAAGGAGGGGGTGGGGGCGAGGCTGGGAAGTTGAGCCATCCTTACCTGGTCTCTAGTGTGTCTCCTCCCTGCACTGAAGGGGAGCTCACTGCACATCCTCCGCTCGGATCCCACCCTGATGTCCCGTGAGGGTCCCTCCTTACAGGAACTGAGGGTCTGCCACGTGGGCGTAGCTCAGAGCCGGGCCCCACGCAGAGCTTAGGGCGTCTGCCGGAGCACCCGTGGCCCAAACAGCTTGACAGTGAGACCTCCTCTCCTGGGCTTCTTGGCGCTCCCTGAGGGGCGGCTGGCAATCAGCCGGCCCTCTCTCCTCTTTCTGACAGCACATCTCGGTCTCATGCCGAAGGAGAAGCTGGTGATTATCTTGCTCCCTTTACGGACATCGTACTGATGTTTATAAAGAATACAGAGCCACACAGCTTCTCTGGTGCCTTCAGTTTATCATCACTGTCTGTGATGAAAATACCAGCGTTAGGTTGTTCTAGGGATCGTCGGAAATTGGGCTGAGGTTCTGAGATACATACTTTTTCACTGGCTGTTTGAGGTACAGGCCTGCCTAGGTCTAGGGAGTTCTCCTGCCAGACGGCCCAGTGCCTCCAGGTCCCCAGGTGTCTGGTTTGTTTCTTCCCCGCCACCAGGTATGTTAGTATCCTCTAGTTTCCAAATACAATGATAGTAACCAAAATTTGAAAGAATTGAACATTAGGTCAGCTTGCAAAGATGCAATGGGATAAGTAGATATGATAGCCAGTCTAGGTCGTGTATTTACATTTTCAGGGTCAGGTTGTGGTCTGGCAGGCCCGGGGGCCTCCGCACAGTCAGCGTGGCACTGTCCGCCTTTGTTCTCTTCCCGTAACATGGCCAGAGATGGAATCAGCCGAGACCTAGGGCGGCTTACTAACCAAATGACCTGGCTCAGAGTTTATAGTTTCCATAAATGGAATTTTTCAAGCCTCACTTTTTAAAACTCTTAACTACATCAAAACAAACAAACAAACAGAAAAAAACAAGAGTTTATTATTGGTCATGGTTCCAACATTGGAAAGCATCGAAAGTTAGAAGCTTTACTCGTTACCCTGATGGAAGGAGGAGGAGGAAGAAGCAAAATCACTTGAGTGTAGAAAGCAAACAGCCTACTATGTGCTGGGACAGGCCCAGATAAGCAGAGGCCTGGGTTTCAGAGTGCACCCTTACCTCGGAGAGCTAGCTTTCCTCCCCATACGGAACAGGGTGCTGAAATCCCCTGCTCTCCTGTTGGCAGATCAAGTCAAATGTGTTTTTTTGTTTTTTAAATTCAGGTGCTATACATGATCTCGTGAAGGGAAAAAGTAACTTTTCCAAATTAAGTCAACACAACTGGAAAATGGAGCAATTTGTACAAAGTAGGATAGCTGAATAACTCCTCTCCAAGTTCAGAGCATTGGTTCATCCACGACATCAAGCCTGAACTCGCAGTTGAGTGCAAGACACGTTCCTCCTCTTTATTTCTGAGCACAGATACTGGGATAAGTGTACACCTACACTTGTGAGTGTAGTGGAATTTTAGCCATGCTCATGGAGATCTGAATTGCCTCATCTTCTTGGTTTACTGGCCGCACTGCCTCCGTGAAATTCCATTCATTCCTCAGCTTCCTGCAAGGGAGGGGCTGTTCTCAGGCCCTCCCCTTTCTCCCCTTCCCTTCCTTCCTCTGCCAGCTGCCACCTGGACTTTTCCTCCCTCCCATCATTCACCTGAAACTCCTCTCAGCAAAGACCTTCTAGCTGTCAGATTAGAAGACAGAGTTACAGCCTACATCTTAACGGACTTTGCTAGGAAATCTGACAATGCCGAGCACACTGCTCTCTTGGAAATTCTTGGCTCATTTCTCCTCCACCCTCCCTGACTGCTCTCTTTCTTGACCTCCACTCTGGCCATTTCCCTCTCTTTCTGTTCTTTAAATGCTGCTGGAATCCAGGTGTCCAATGGCATCTCTCTGGCTACCAGTACTTCCTGGTTTACCCTGATGTTTCCTAAAACAGGATTTTCAGCCCAGAATGCTCCTGAGACCCAGACCCCTGTAGCCAATTGCTGCTTCACGGATCAAGGTCATCCTCATCGCCCTTCCTTCGACTTTCCCCAGCTTCTCCTCTTCCCACCCTGTGACCTACCTTGGTGAAGCACATCACCGTCCTCTTAGTCACCCAAGCCAGAAACCCAGGATTAATCCCCAACACCTTCCCACCCAAATCCCAACAGTCCCAAGCCAGTTATAATTCCAAAATCGCTTTCCATCTCATCTCCCTCTCCATTTCCACTCCTGTCTTATTCTTCCTCTTCTGTATTAACATAGGAGGGTCCCATCTGACCTCCATCCCCCCCAAAATCTGTCTTTCATCTTACTGTGGATCTTTTAAAACACAAATTTGATCATGAGAGTTCCCTGCTTGTAAAACACTGATGGTTTCCCATTAGTTTCAGGATGAAGTTCAACTTTCTTAAATAGGAGGAAATAAACACAAAAGCAAGAGTCACCGAATGCCAAGTAACTTCTTACTCGGACACAGTTTGTCGTGATGTGGCCCTCACCCACGGTCTGCTTCCAACTCCTGCTGCCCTCCCAGACGTACCTCTTCAGCCCTGTGCTACCTTAGATACTCACGCTCCTACGTGTATGTGGACGTGCCCATTCTCCTCCCTTTACCCAGGGGTACTTAACCTCTCTTACATCCTGGGTAACTTAACCTTCAAGACGTAGCTCAGAATTTTTACATCTTCAGGAAACCAACAGTCCTCACCGCCTCTCCCTCACCCACTCTCCCATGTGTTCATAATAATAACTGAACTGAACTCTCAATTTGTATTTTTTTCTTCCATTATTCTGCTGAGTATCTTGTAATGTTTGACACATGATGGAAACACAGTGGATGCTTGATGATTGGATGAATGAATGAATGAATGAATAAGTGAATATTAGGCCAAATAATAAGACAAAGTAACATTGTATAAAGAGCACTGTGCAGGGTCTACTGAGATTCAATGTCGGGCTTCTGCTTTGGGATCTAATCTGCCGAGTGATTGAAAGCCCCTTTCTAGACCTAAGCTCCTTTCCTGTAAAGTAAGGAGGTCATACTAAGGCATAAGGAAAATCCATGTTAGCTCTAATGTTCTGTCACCTCCATGACCATCGTTTCACAGGAGAAACACAAATTGTCATGAAGTTAGTTGTGTGTTACAGAATCCGGGCAGGGCCTCCACACCTCCCTCCGCTGTGGACATACCCCTTTACAGAACAGACTCCTAAAAAGCTGGAATGTAAACGCTTCTTTCAAAGGAAGAGGTGCCTGTCCCAGCGGGAAAACCTGAGCTTACCATCCGCTCTGGTGTTTTTCATTAACATTCAATATTCTTGAAATACATCGGCTTGGAAGAGGGTGGCGTGATGCTTATTCCTGGGGAGGGGAGGTAGCCGTGACCTGCCGGTGACTCGGTGCTGGCGCGCCTTCAGTGTGCTTTTCCCCTTTCCCGCAGACGGAAGCCCTTACACCTGGTGGGTCGGCAGAGCCAACGAGAAGCACTACTACTGGGGAGGCTCGGGCCCGGGCATCCAGAAGTGCGCCTGCGGCATCGAGCGGAACTGCACGGACCCGCGGTTCTACTGCAACTGCGACGCCGACTACAAGCAGTGGTGAGTGCCGGCCCGGGGCGGGGCGGGCAGAGGGTGAAAAGCGCCGGGATGGGAAGATAACGGGCTCGAAGGTTTGGAACCAACCCCGCTGACAAATGTCAGGAACGTTCTGAAAAACACAACAGCGGGAGGAGGTCCGTGCCACCCGGGCCTGCATTTAGAAGCAGAGGAACACATAATTGATGCGCTCATATTTTATTCAGAGAGGAAAATAATGGGCCGTGTAGCAGACAGGGATTTGCTCTGTGAAACGTGCTTGGTGACCGTGGAGGGGTGGCCGCGGGCGGGGAGCCCGGGTGCAGGCGGCCAGCGTCCACAGCACGGCTCGGGCGCCTGCGGTGCGCGCTTCCGCCTCCTGCGCTGTTGGCTTTGAGTAGCCGGAGGAGGGGGGAGGAGGCGGGAGGAGGCGGGGGAGGGAAGGAAGGGGGGGGAATGTTCTTTGCGCTTGTCTTCAGCAACCGTGCTTGCTGTCTGCTTTTCCTTCCCTCCGGAGCTGTTTATAACTGATACAGATCAGCTCAAGGAAGATCCATTCTGGGTTTCCTTTTTCCCTCTACTGGCTTTTGTCCTGCTTCACAGTGAATGCCTGGGTGTGTATCAGTGACAGATAAAGATAAATCAGCTGTCGTTCGATGGGGAACAGGCCCCGGGAGTCTGAGCGGAATAGTAGGAGTCGGGTTCAGCTTCTGGTAGTTTCAGACGCTGGAGAGGCCCGCTGTGCTCCATGCGCGCCTCTGGGCGGCAGCAGAGAGCAGAGCCCTGCGGTTCCTCACGTGACCGACCCCAGTGCCTATCCGTTGCCTCTGTTTTACTTGGAAGGACAGGTTCGTCCTGCTAGTTAACTGAAAACTAATTCTGAATGTGAAGTTACATGATTGCCAGGTCGGTTGTCTGCATATTTTCCAAAAGCCATTTTTCTTTTAATAAATGAAATAAGTACCAAAGCCATTTATTTTTTTTTCATTTGAGGTATAGTTGATTTACAATGTTGTGTTAGTTTCTGGTATACAGCATAATGATTCAGTTATACATGTACATATGTGTGTGTGTATATATATATATATATATTCTTTTTAATTACAGATTATTGCAAGATACTGAATATAGTTCCCTGCACTAGACAGTAGGACCTTGTTGTTTATCTGTTCTGTACACAGCAGATTGTATCTGCTAATCCCAAACTCCCAATTTATCCCTCCCTCCTTTCCCCTTTGGTAACCATAAGTTTGTTTTCTATGTCTATGAGTCTGTTTCTGTTTTGTAAATAAGTTCCTTTGGGGCATTTTTTAGATTCCATATATAAATACTGTCACATATTTCTCATTCTCTTTCTGGCTTACTTCACGTAGTATGCTAATCTCGAGGTCCATCCATGTTGCTGCAAGACATTTTTCATTCCATTTTATGGCTGAGTAGTATTCCATTGTGTATATATATACCACATCTTCTTTATCCAGCCATCTGTCAGTGGATATTTAGGCTGCTTCCATGTCTTGGCTATTGTAAATAGTGCTGCTATGAACATTGGGATGTACACATTTTTTTGAATTGGAGTTTTCTCTGGATATATGCTCAGGATAGCCGGATCATAGAGTAACTCTATTTTTAGTTTTTTAAGGAATCTCCATACTGTTTTCCATAGTGGCTGCGCCAAATTACATCCCCACCAACAGTGTAGGAGGGTTCCCTTTTCTCCACACCCTCTCCAGCCAAGGCTGTACATTTCAATGACCTGTAATTTCTTAATATGTCTCTGTGTGTAAATAGCTATAATTATGCATTAATTGTGGTTAATTGTAAAGAGGAAATCATGATATTCACTTCTTAGTTTTGTTTTGAAAGAGGTATCCACATGCACACACACACACATATACACACTATACAAAGACTGGAAGTCAGGAGAATGAAATCAGAAGGACCTGGGTTTGATGATAGCTTTTCAGTCAGTCAGTCAGTCAATCCTTCATTCTGTCAGTCACTTTCTCAACAAAAACTGATGGAACTCTTATGTGCCAAGGGCTCCTCTAGGTACTGGGGTTAACAGTGAAGGGCAGTGATAAGCATCTCTGCCCTGACTTACATTCTTGTCGCCTCTTACCATTGTGAGCCCTTAAGCAGGTTCCGTAGGCTCTCTTGGATTCATTTGTCGGCTTGACAAATAGCTGGATCATTGTCCAGGCAACCCAGAGCGTGAGCTCCCGCGAGCACTGGTATCCGGTGCTCTTTGTCCCACCGCAGAAGACCGCTGAGGGACTCGGGACAAGGAAGATCTAGTGCACGCAGACAAGTGAAATTCACAGGTGTGCAGCCACGTTCGTTGTGATGTAAAAGTAAAAATAGAGTTTCCGCTGCATCTCATGCTTCCAGACTCAATACGCAGCTCAGAAAGTTACTTCTTCCAGTCATCTTACCTCAGTCACAGCAACAATTAGATTAAAATGGTCTGAGGGGGAGGGCATAGCTCAAACGGCAGAGCGCAGGCTTAGCGTCCACAAGGGCCTGGGTTCAATCCCCAGCACCTGCAATAAACAGAGAAAGCAAGAAAGAAACCAAAATGAGTGCAAATATATAGTTCTTCCCAATTCATGTGAAAGTTGGGTAAAGTGTTGTCGTAAATGAATGTTTAAATTTGCAGTAGGGTGTAGTATTTTTGTTACTAAAATGTTAATAGAACCCTAGCTAATAGAGTTAAAATTTTCTTAAAGAACAGATGCATCAGTTGGGGCCCAGGAAAATTTTAGTTACTTTCCAAAATTACATTGGAAATAAGAAGTAGAGAGAAGAGCAAGACCCAAATTTCCAGACATCGAGTCTGGTGTTTTTTGGCAATATCGTGATCAAGGATGACACTCATGCTGTTTTTTATCTTTTTAATGATTTATGAATTTAATGTTTTCACTAGCTATATGTAAGCTTTACAGTGAAAGCTTAAACAATAGAACACATATTATATGTATGTTTAAAAAAAAAAAGAACTCTAAAACCTAAAGTAAGCATTTATCCTTTTTTCCTGGAGTCAAATACACAAAAAAAGGGGCTGGAATAAATTAGACTGGAGCTCCGGGTGTGATTGGGTCTCACAGCAAAGCAGCGGTGGGCTGCAAGCACTGTACCCATCTCAATAATTGCCTGATTATCTATGCTGGGAGAAGTTTTGCACAGTTATTTCCGAGATTGAATGTAATTTAACATTTATGATTTACTATTCACGGCAATAGTAAATATTCCCACCTACAGTGCCAGAATCCTAATTAAGTGAGCCTTGGTCTCAGCTAAGTGCTCACCACTGGGTAATTCCTGGTCTCTCGCAGCCTGACTCAATGCGCTAAATCATCACATCTGAAATTAGCAATTCCGAAATGGAATTACCAGGGAAGGCGTGCCACTCGTGGCCTGAGTGCCCTTCCCTAGTTTTACTGGTCGAGTTTCTGCATCGTTGAGCCCTGGCCAAGATGAGCACGTCCGTGGGAGGAAGGAAGGGAGGTGAAAGTCCATTAGCACAGTCTGTGTTATGATGAGAGACCAGCTCCCAGCTCAGCACTGGGAAGGCCAGTCAAACGCTCACCGCTTGCTCCTTGTGCCGTTGCCCCTGAGTGGAACTGGTGCGTCTGTGGAGCTTTCCTTCCTGCGCCAGATATAATCCATAATGATGTTTACAGGCAGGAGAACCTCTTCATTGTTTCAAAGCCAGAAACTTACATTTGATTGTCTCAGCTTACGATCCAACAATTAACTGCTAAATATTTTGAATATTTTGAAAAGTAGTCCTTATATATTTTTGCATTGTTTATAATTTCATCTAATGCTCTCAACAGTTTTTTCACTGAAATAAGTTCAGTTTTACACAGAGTGAAATGTTTATTTGTGCATTCTCATCCATCATGCTGTTCAAATAATAAATGGTGAACATTTGTTGAGTGTTAATTACATGCCAGTTGTTGTTCCAAGTGCTTAAATGTGTAATGTCATTTAAACATCACATTGACCCTATGATGCAGGTACTGTTTTTCCTCAGTTGACAGAAGAGGAAATTAAGCTCCAGAGAGGTTTAGTTACTTCCCCAAGGTCACACAGCTGATAAGTGGTAGAGCTGAAATTCAAACCCAGGGCAGGCAAACTCCATGGATACACAATACACAACAAGAAATAAACTGTAAATATCTTGACATGTGCGCTATATACAGTATGATTCCACTTTTTCAATTTTTAAAATTCTAATGAAATACACATTACAAAAAGTTTACTATCTTACCAATTTTTCAAAGTATATATAGTATAGTGGTATTAAATACACACATTTTGTTGTACAATCATCAGCACAGTCTGTCTCTGAAACTCTTTTCATCTTGCAAAACTGATGCTGTCTACCCATTAAACAGTAACTCCCCATTCCTCCCTCCCTCAGCCCCTGGTAACCACTGTTCAACTTTCTGTCTCTATGAATTCAACTGCTTTAGTACCTCAGATAAATGGGAGTCATACAGTGTTTGTCTTTTTGTGGTTGGCTTATTTTACTTAGCCGAATATCCTCAGGGTTCTTCTGTGCTGTGGCACCTGTCAGAACCTCCTTCCTTTTTAAGGCTGAATAATATTTCATCATTATGTGTAGACCATGTTCCATCCACTCATCCATCAGTAGACGCCTGGTTGCTTCCACATCTTAGCGATTGTGATTAATGAATATGGGCGTATGATTTCAGTTTTAACATCTATTTATGCTCACCTCTGTGGTGTTCCTTATTTAGTTTTTTTAATTTCTTGTTTTGATTTTATATTAAAAGTGATTTTATCATAAATAAGTTCAAATTATTTTCTAAATGTAACCTGGATTTGAATCCTAGCTCTGTTGCTTGCTAGCTCAGTGACTTTGAAGAAGTCACAACAACAGCTCTTTGTGACTATTTCCTCAGCACAAAATTGAAATGGTATTAATACACACATTGTACGGTGGATTTGAAGTTTAAATGAGACGATACTCCTAAGTGAGAATGCATATGTGT